AGTCGCAGACTCAAGCAGCCATCTTCCATAGATATGTGGTACAAGGTTATGGGTTGCAAAAGTCTATCTCCGCACCGAGATGGATCTATGGGTCTACGAATGGTGATCGCAATGATGTTTTACATTTAGAAGACAGATTTTCCACGGAAGTTGTAGATGATTTAAAAGAAAAAGGTCATGAAATTTGTTTGCTTCCATCGTTCAGTGAGATGGTGGGACAAGCTGGTGCTTTAGTAAGGCACCCAAACGGCATTCTGGAAGGTGCTTTCGATCCACGCAGTGATGGAAGTGCTGCAGGGTTTTAGGGTAACCTTTTTATATTTTCAAATTTCTCTTGCATTGCAAAATAACGCTGTTCAAATAGCTGTAAGCCAGAGCTTGTAAATATTACATTATAGTCTATATTTGTAAATCGAAATTGTTAATGGTGCTACATTTAGTTATAAGGTGTATTTAGAAAAAAATATTTTTATAATTTTGTATCCTTTGTATATGTAAACTTATAGGAAATTTGTCCTATTTCCATTTATGTATAGCTTATCGGTTCTTAAAGCGATATCGATATAGATACCAACAGGTATTGGTATTATTTCGTTCATCGCACAAGCGATTCAACTTGCATACAAGTCGGGGTGAAATCACCGGCAGCCGCCGCGCAATCTCCGGAATGGGCGATAAAATGAATCTCATTGTAGTATCGTCTATAGTACGGATGCTAAACGAGATTTATTTGAATATCTAAAAGATTTTTTAGAAAATACGTAAAGTGCGCTTATGGATTTTATTTGTAATTATATTAAATGATATTCTATTATTTTATAACCGCTTTGATAACACTTATAATGTTATAATTTAGTGGTAATAATTATAAAACTTTTACGCTGTCTATTCATTTATTAAGTCTATCTCTACCAATATAATCAACTACATTAAATCCTTTAAATACAAAACATTGGGTCACTGGATCCAAACTCATGTTTGATGATGTAAGGATTAAGACTGTAAATTTTATGAGAAATTAATCTATCACAACTTAACCTCCTAACTTGGCGCTATTTCATGCAACTCACTTTCATTTTGGCATCACGATTGATACAGAGCATGAATAAATTCGATAAGCATTAAAAAAATATGAAGTAACGCAAATACAAACGTAAAAGCCACCCCTCAAAACGACAGTCCCTTGAAATTCAATTAAAAGAGATAAGCTTGTATCTGTACGAGGGCATACGATTTTGCATAAATAACGCTGCCGGCCAGCCCTTTGAGAGTTGCTATTCGAATTTCGAATAATAAGTTCGTTAGCGAATTCGAAATGTTACTGTCGCGGAGCCAAATAAATGCACGTCACAATTTCACCGCGGGTGCAAATCTACATTATAAAAACGACCTAAACATCAAACACATACGGTTTAAATTGCCATTGTACAGTTTTTGTTTATCGAATTATTTTGCAGCTCCCGGGTACGCCATGCCATAACCTGTCAATATACAACGCCATTTTAAAACGCATTTAAAAAGCAAAGTACTTACAATGCATATGTAATGCACAGTTGATCTTTGAAAGTCGATAAAACTGTTTTTAAATTAACAGTTGGCTTCCACTGCGTCGACAGTCTTACAAAACCACTCAAAAACAAAGATTTCTAACTTTTTCCGAAAAAAGATTCTATTGTTAGTACAAACTTATCGTAGTGGTACAAAAAAAAGCGTCGGTGGATCAGTGGTTTAAGCATTTGACTTGTAATCCACAGGTCTTGGGTTCGAATCCCGCCGTGTACCAATGGGATTATCGAGTTTTCGAAATTTCATATGTACATAATTTACCCGACGTTATTACGGTGAAGGAAAACATCGTGCTGCAACCTACACCTATCGGCGAAGAAATTCAAAGATATGTGTGGAGTCAACCAACCCGCAGTGGGCCAGCGTGGTTGACTATGGTCTAGTCATCCTATCTTAGGGTAGGCTCCGAGCCCCTCGGTGGGGACATACAGTAGTGTATTTTAAAACCAAAGTTACAATATAGTTTTAGTAATAAATTGTTATCACTACTGATGTAATAGAATTTATCAGTAAATTGTATAATTTATCTTTTTTATCACTATTGTATAACTCAACATGTGACACTCGCGTGATTTTTTAAAGGTTAAACTTGTGTTTGACTACAATTGATGAGTGGAAAAGGCTATTAAAAGCGTATTTGTTACTCTACCACTGATGTCTATGGGCGAAAAAAATATTAGGATATCTCCTCGTTTGCTTCTATACTAATGTTATAAAAACGAAATACTTGTATTTTTGTATATATTGAAATAACTCAAAAACTACTTTGCCGATTTAAAAAAAATTACACCGTTAGAAAGGTATCTTAATTTACATTCATTCAAGATTCGTCGTTATTCTTTACTAGCTTTCGTCCGTGACTCCATACGCGAGGAATTTCGAATAAATAAGTAGACAGACTTTCCTATCATGCTTATCGAATCCATTTAGCAGTTAAGGATACAAACTCTAACATCCATCCATCCTTCCATCT